TTGGTTATAACGATGAAAATAATATTGAGTTGCAAGCAAGCAATGTAAATGAGTAAGGTGATGCTGAAATGGAAATATGGTTAATACGCTGTTGCAAAGCTAAGGTGTTTGAGATGTTATTTTCTACACCTAAATGACAACAGATCGCATCTGGGTTTAATAATCACCTCTTCACCATTAATTGTAACCATTATTCTTTCCATGGTAGCACGGGTATCTTCAGTTTCCATTCTGCTGACAGTCTCTGTTGGCACACTCTCGAATGGATTCAGGCTGGGTCAGCAGTCTCTTGGCAGTCTCTTCATCCACAAGTCCCAGATGCAAGGCTTTTTCAACTGAAAGATGCTCGCCTGTTCGGGGATGGATGATTTCTGCCACAACTCTCCTTTCTGATGAGACTTCAATGTCGCTCTCGGGTGCTCTAGACAACTGGTCGGCCATTTCTTGATCAATTAATCCTCTGCTCAATGCATCCTCCACTGTAAGGTGTTCACCAGTGTTAGGATCTACAATTTCTGCAGCAACACGTCTCTCGGTTGTGACAACTCTCTCAGATGTTAGAGTGGTTGATATCTGAATCTCTCCCTCACCAGGTTCTTTGGCAAGGTTTTCTGCAGTTCCAGGATCAATGAGTCCACAGTTGATTGCTTCTTCTACAGTTAGATGTTCTCCTGTTCGTGGATCTACTATCTCAGTCTGTACTTGTCCAGAGGTTGTCACAACCCTTCTCTGTGTGGCAAAAGTAGTGGTCAATTCTACACCTCCATCACCAGGAGCCATCATAATCTTATCAGCAGTTTCTTGGTCAATTAGTCCAATCCTGAGAGCTTCTTCAACAGGAATTCTTTCTCCTGTATGTGGGTGGATAACAACAGCCCTGACTTGTCTCTCAGATAATACAACACCTTCTGAGGGAACATCATCCCCAGTCAGCATTACAGCTAAATCCCTGTTTATTAAACCAACTTCCAGGGCTTCATTTACTGTAAGCTGTTCACCAGATGTTGGATGTTTTATACCACCATCCATCAGTTGATTTCTTAAAATCTTTGCAGCCAATGTATAATCAATTAGTCCTCTTTCAACAGCTGTGTTGATTGGAACATACTCTCCAGAACTTGGATCCAGAATGCCACCAGCAGACAACTGACCTAAAAGAAGGTTTTCCGCTAGCTCTGAGTCAATAATTCCCCTTTTCAGAGCTTCAGCAACAGTCAAGCTTTCTCCAGTGTTCGGGTCAATGATGCCACCTGCAAGAAGTTGGTCTTTGAGTAGTTGTTCAATGGTATCTCTATCAACAACTCCTCTATCAATGGCATCTACTAAGCTCAGTCTTTTACTAGTAGCTGGATCAATGATGCCGCCTGTTTTGATTTGATTCTTGAGGAGAACTTTGGCCATGTCCCCACTGATAGCACCCTTCTTTACAGCTTCCATTAGTGGCATCTGATCTCCAGTCTTTGAATCAAGTATTCCTTTTTTACCAAGTTGTTCTTTGAAAATAGCCTCACCTTGATTTGAGGTGAGTAAGTCCATTCGTATTGCTTCCTCCACAGATAGCTGCTTACCAGTTTTGGGGTCAATAATGCCTCCATGTGAGAGCTGTTCTTGTAAAATCTTTTGCGCCTTAGTATTATCAATATATCCTTTCTTGAGTGCATCAAACACAGTTATTGGTTTACCAGTCTTTGGATCTTTCATGACCACAGCCTTTTGTTGATCACCTTTCAGGAGTTTAGCCATCTCTTTATCTAAAAGACCTTTCTTGAGAGCATCATCTATGGAATGTCTTTTACCTGATTTAGGATCAATAATGCCACCAGCAGCTAGTTCGTCCTTCAAAAGCTTCCTGGCCATATTCTTGTCAATTATCCCTTTCTTCAAAGCTCCACAAACAGAGATCTCCTTTTTAGTTTTTGGATCAATTATACCACCAGAGCTGAGCTGATCCTCAAGGACTGCAACAGCCAGTTCTTCAGTAATAAGATGTCTCTTGACAGCATCAGCTGGAGTCAATTTATTTTTAGTTTGCGGATCAATCACACCACCTGTCTTGAATTGGTCTTCAAGTATATCTTTGGCCATATCTCTGTCAATGAGTCCTTTGTTAATAGCTCCAGACAATGGAACGACTTTGCCTGTATCAGGATCCACAATGCCACCAGAAGTGAGCTGTTTCTGTAACTCATCTTTCAAAATACCTTTCGGTATGAGGCCCCATTCCAATGAAACTGGCACTTGTATGTGTTGGCCAGTTGATGGGTCAATGATGCCACCATCCTTTATCTGATCATGGACAAGTTTTCTTGCCATATCTTCATCAATTATACCTCTTTTGAGTGCTTCGGCTATTGGTAACTTCTCTCCAGTTCTAGGATCAATAATACCACCCTTTGAAATCTGATCCTCAAGCAGAGAAGCTGTAGTTTCTCTCACACATATACCTTTCTCAACGGCTCCAAGAAGGGTCAAACACTCCCCATTTGACGTATCTATGATGCCACCATTTTCTAATTGTCTCTGTAATAACCTTTTCTCCATGTCCTTATTAACAATGCCTTGACTAACTGCATCACATGTTGGTAGTTTTTCTCCAGATTTTGGATCAACAATTCCACCAGTCTTCAATTCTTCAATGAAAAGCCTCTCTGCGAGATCAGTATCAAAGAGACCTTTTTGTAAAGCTTCAGCAACAGACAGTTGGTCACCAGTAGATGGATCTTTGATGCCACCAGACTTAAGTTGCCCTTGAAGGTATCTTGCTGCAGTATCAGTGTCGACTAATCCCTGTCTAATTGCCTGCATAATAGGCATTTCTCTGCCATCAGTTGTCTTTACCATCGTTTCTGTCTCAATGCTGGTAAAAATCCGTTGTGTAATTTCAGTTTGATTCAATAATCTTTTAGCAGTCTCAGGGTCAATTACCCCACGATCTAAAGCTTCTTCTACTGAAATGCGTTCTTTAGTGTTTGGGTCAATAATTCCAGCAATAACATGCTTTTCAAGACTCTTGCATTTGGTTCTCAGGCATTTTCCCATTTTATCTGCAGTTTTTTTATCAATTAATCCTCTTTCTAGGGCCTCATCAACACTCATATGTTCACCAGTCCTTGGGTCACTAATTTCAACACCTAGATGTCGTTCAGTTGTGATAAATCTTTCAGCAGTTGATGTTGTAGTCACCTCAACTGTACCTTGTGTTGGCTCTTGAATCATTTTATCAGCAGTGTCTCTGTCAATCAAACCAACCTGCACAGCTTCATCAAATGGAATTATTTTTCCAGTCTTTGGATCAGCGATTTTATTTCCAATTCTTTTCACCACGGTAGTCTTTGTGAATTCAAGCTCACCCTTTCCAGCTTCTTTCAAAAAATCATCTGCTGTCTTCTGGTTAATCAATCCCCTGTTTACAGCGTCTTCAACACGAATCTTATCACCAGATTTAGGATCAACTACATGGATTAAAATTGCTTTTCCAACTTGTTGGATTTCATTAAGTTTGTTAGCCATCTCCTGGTCCAGAAGCCCAATCATCAATGCTTCATCAATAGAAAGTCTTTTCCCACTCTGCAGATCTACAATTCCACCGGAAAGAAGTTGGTCTTTCAAAAGTTTTTCTGCCATATCTTCAGAAATAATATCATTACCAAGGGCATCTTGAACTGTTAATTTGGCTCCAGAATTTGGATCAATGATGCCACCATTCGAAAGTTGTTCCTTCAATATGCACACAGCAGTGCGGCTGTCAACTAAACCCTGTTGTTGGGCATTAATGAGAGGTATGACTTGCCCATCTTCAATCTGAAACACACCCTTCTCAACCAATAGTTTCATTTGACCTTCAGTTGGTGCACTTCTATCCATTATTGGTTCATCCGTGCGATCTGCGAGTTTTCCCATTAATGATGAAGGGACAATTCCTCTCCGGACAGCTTCATCCAGAGGTACCTTTTCGTCATGGGTGAAATCGATTATTCCACCAGATGCGAGCTGTTTCATAAAAACTGTCTTCAGCATGTCTTCATCAACTAATCCAAGTCTAGAGGCATCACCTGGAGACACATATTCTCCTGTAGCAGGTTCAAAGACTCCACCTTCAGATTCAAGTTGCTGTTCAACAATATGTTGGCAAGTAATCGGATCAACAAGAGAACGCTTCTCAGCTTCAGCAAGAGTTAATCTCTCTCCAGTCCTTGGATCTGTGATACCTCCACTCATCAATTCATGGGCGACCAATTTTTCAGCAAGGATTGGTTTTAATAAGCCATGATGTAAACATTGATCTATTGACAATTTGTCACCTGTTGTTTCATCTAGGATTCCTCCCTCCTGGAGCTGATCTTCTAAAAGTTTCAGAGCATCACTCTGACCAATCACACCACCTTCAAAGGCCTGGTTTACATTTGTTCTTTCACCAGATTTTGGATCAACAATGCCCCCAGTAGCAATCTGTTGAGTTAATATCTGAAATTTATCCTCTTCACTGATAACTCCTTTCTGTTCTGCTTCTACAAGTGTAAGAAGTTTACCATCTTTATCTTTTACTACAGCGGGGGCAATTTCTTTCTCAGCCATTTTGTCTGCCATTTCCTGGGGTAAAATACCCTTCTCAACTGCAACTTCAATTGATACTCTTTCTCCCTTAGTTAGGTCAATAACACCACCCAGTACCATCTGTTCTTGGATTAATTCGACAGAAAATTGTTCTGGTACAATTCCTCTTTTGACTGCCTCAGCTAAGTCGACCTTCTCACGAGACTTGGTGTCTGAAATTCCACCTTTGCAAGTTCCTCATTAAACAACAGAATAGCCATATTTTTGTCAATAAGACCATGTTCTTGTGCTTCAGCCACAGTGAGTTTCTCACCAGTACGCGGATCAACTAT